CCCCCTTCCTTGGCTACCTTTCACGTTATTTTCGATGCGCAGCCAACTGGAGCCTTCTACTGTACGGACAGCCGACGCCATGAATGAAACAAAAGACGCTGAGTGGGTTAAAACGGCGATTTCTGATTTCTGGCCATTTAGCGGAAATGGACCATAGTTTTATACTCAGTGCTCATTCCCCTATACCATACATAAAACCATTTTCAAAAGGCGTCCCACGCCCTGAAAGACCTTCCTTGTAAGCAGCATATCACTAGCAAAGAAAAACCACATAAAAATTATCTTATTTTTTCTGTACATGTTAGAATTATTCAAAAATGTTAAAGAAGCCAACAAGTATTACAAGACTGTTGCTCTATCTCTGACTATCAAACTATAATAGATCGTCAAGGCACTTTTGTAAACGTAAGGTTGGTGAAGAAGGCAGAAGTGTTAAGTGAATAAGAAAGCTGAGCTTCCCTTTCACGCGGAAACGGGGCACAATTATACGAAATAAGCTGTCTAAAGATTTGAACGGCATTCATTACTTACCATTAGTCCAACCGAGGTGGAAGATTGTTTTTCCAAGTGCTTGCATTTCATTTTTTTAACTTGTCTATTCTATAAATGCACTCGTATTGTAGGTGCACTACTACAAAAACTTCATTAGGTTAGATCACACAATAATGCAAATTGCTGAAGCAAACACACATGATGGTAGGCAACATAGAATTGTAATATTGTATAAGAGTAAAATCCGACGAAGATGATTATGTGGAAATCGTTCAGATTTCCACATAGTCATCTTCGTCGGATTTTGAGTCTACCGTGGATGGCGATCATGAAAGACGGATGCAAATGGTTTGTTGCTGGTGCTCGCACTTGAGTGAAGACGAGCCGTATATGTAAGTAAATATAAGTGTTTATAGGGGTATTCTTGAAAGAGAGCGACGTCTAATAGACCACCAGGTCGCTCAGAATCACTCTACTATGGTTTTCAGTATCATTGCGGTAAATCATTTAGCCAGAGGCGGTAACGTTGAGGATAAAATTACTCTTCGTCAAGAACAATTTATACCCTGCGCTCCATAAGTATGCATAAGGTCACCCTCTGATGCGGCGTTTACAGGACTATTCTGGAAATGCAAGATTCGAGGGTGACCTTATTCCCAGAAACGCATTATGCAAGGAATCAAAGCTGTGTTTTTGGATGGTACGTATTTTCTATCCTGACCGTTCTATTTTCTGAATACAGTAACCATATTCAAAAACTTGAGCGGCTTTCTAAGCATCTGTGCAGCTCAGTATGAGCGTTCAGGAATGTTCATATCCATTAAAATAGTTATCCGCAAAAAAGAGCGAAGCAGACAGAACAAAAACAATCCTAAAAACACAACAAAAGAATTCGAAGACTTCAAAGCCGAATTTTCCTCCCTCGATCCGCTGTTTGCATCTCTTACCGATGCCCTGCCTCTGATTCTGCAACTCGTGCCTTAGATCGGTTACGGCTTCGCTGACCATTCGCATACAAGTAGGCATTTCGTGATCCGAACTCCGAAGTTTGTCGAGAGCACAGCCAGATGAATGAGGCGATACATCGAGACTTGACTGTTTGGCTGGAACAAACGAGGACCGAGAGGGGATGTAGTAATGACGTGAAAATACGTTGAACTAATTGAGCAGGTACAATGCAGCGAGGTGACCTATCGATTTTTGCACACAAGTGCAAGAAAAATTACAGACTAAGAGTGAAAGAGACGGAATTGGTGC